GGCTCTGCCTATCTAGAGGCAGAGCCAGCTTTACCAGCCCCCACCCCCCCCCCCCCCCCCCATTCTGATTGGGGTTTTCCGGTAAGGAGTGCGACAAGGCAACTCTACGTTTGTTCCTCTGGTATAGGGAAGCGCCTCGGCTGCCTGCGGTTTGCCGTAGCCAAGTTGGCTTTGAATTTTTTCGGGCGTTATCACAATGTGAGATGTTAAAGGAGAACTCTGGGGTCAGGGCTTTTCCCCATAGTTCTCCTTAGGGTAACGGGAGGACACAAACTAGCGTCCTCCCGTCTCTCTAGGCTCAGTATATAGGGAGCTACAGCTCGCGGTATACTGAGACCGCCACAGCCGGGACGGATCCCGACAATTGTGCCGGGATCCGCCCAGCTGCGTGAGTGACAGCTGGCTCAGCCTATCTAGAGGCAGAGCCAGCTGTACCCGCCCCCTCCCGTTCCGCCAGTCAGCGCTGGAGGATCAGAGCGGGGAGGGGGAATCCCTGCAAGGAGCCGTGACTGTCACTCAGGTGATGATCGAGAAGTGAGCGAGCGACGGTATGTGTTCCCGATCTATAGAGCCGACCTGTGACAGTCTCATTGTCACAGGTCGGCTCAGATTATGAGGCTGAGTGCAGATCACCCCCCTCGTAGTTCCCCTTTAATAAAGGAGGAACGCATTGAACGTTCACACAATCCGGGATTTCTCGGCACATCTGATCAATACAGAAAACCTGGGAGGATCCCGGGGACAAAAATCCTGTCCAGCAAAGGACATCCGGCACATAGAGGAGTCCCGGCCGGCCTCTGGTGTAACGGTGACTCCGATGGGGGCCACACACATATCAATGTGATCAATTATTCATTTGATGATTAAACTGATTGATTAGAAATTGCAAATCAAAGACTCACTGACTTTTCATCCATTTAGAGATAAGTTGTAACTGTTACATTGTTCAGCTGGGGCAGAATGTTGTATTTCATTTCTGATCACAAATATATGTGCGACGGGCAGACGGACCATTCAGGCACTGTCCGAGGGCCCGTGGTCAGGAGGGGGCCCATCACTGACCCTCCACTGGCCCTGTCATCCACTCACTAGCCGATTGGCTTATTTACTACTGAGCTATGTGTTCTTTACTACTGATCAGTCTACTCTGTGCATTGGTTCTGGTCTGAGGTCTGCCCTGCATTGGTTCTGGTCTGAGGTCTGCCCTGCATTGGGCGAGGTCTGCCCTGCATTGGTTCTGTCTGCATTGGTTCTGGTCTCAGGTCTGCCGTGCACTGGTTCTGGTCTGAGGTCTGCCGTGCATTGGTCCTGCTATGAGATCTGCCCTGCATTGGTTCTGGTCTGAGGTCTGCCCTGCATTGGTTCTGCCCTGAGGACTGCCCTGCATTGGTTCTAGTCTGAGGTCTGCCCTGCATTGGTTCTGCCCTGAGGACTGCCCTGCATTGGTTCTGCCCTGAGGTCTGCTCTGCATTGGTTCTGCCCTGAGGTCTGCCCTGCATTGGTTCTGGTCTGAACTCTGCCGTGCATTGGTTCTGCCCTGAGGACTGACCTGCATTGGTTCTGCCCTGAGGACTGCCCTGCATTGGTTCTGGTCTGAGGTCTGCATTGCTTTGGTCCTGCTCTGAGGTCTGCCGTGCACTGGTTCTGGTCTGAGGTCTGCCGTGCACTGGTTCTGGTCTGAGGTCTGCCGTGCACTGGTTCTGGTCTGAGGTCTGCCGTGCACTGGTTCTGGTCTGAGGTCTGCCGTGCA